ATATACACTCGCAAGTTTATTTACTGTAGCATTATTTTAATTACAAAATATGGGAAGCAACCGACAGTACCCATACATAAAAATTGTTTGAATAAACTATAAAAGTTAATGAGATGTCGTAAGTAAAGGGAGAATGAGAAATAACTATTTAATAGGTATCCAGAGTTCTGCTTTAGGAAGATAAAATGTTCCGGAAATGGAAGACTGATGGCTGCAGAGCAATATGAATGAACTCCATGCCATTGAACTGTATACGTCATCATGGCAGATTTTTGTTATGCAAAATTTACCATAATTAAAACAAAATGAATAGGAAAGATCTCTTTGATATAATGCAGCATTCTTTCCAGGAAAACTCAGTAAGGGGATGGGGAAGCAAAATGCAAAAACTATATACTATACCATCTTTTGTCTAAATAAATAAATAAATTATATATATATATATATAATCTCTCTTCTTAGAGAGAGAAAGGGTGGGGGAGAAAGGAGAAGATAAACCAGAATGTTACTTATGAAGAATAAGAAAAGATAGTGTAGAAGGGATACAGAAAAAAATACACCTTTTGTGTAATTTTGACTGGGACGGGGGTGGGAGGGGTAATGCTAAGGATGGAACCCAGGGCCTTAGCATGCTAAGCAAGCACTCCACCACTGAGCGATGCCCTCAGCCCCAGTTTTGACACTGAAAGCATACTAACATTCTACATACTCAAAAAATAAAACCAACCAAAATAAAAAAGGGCACAAAAAACTTTGAAACTCAAGCAACAAATAAATTAACCTAATTTCAATTCATATATAGACCATAGTTAGATTATACAGAAAGTAAGGTAGAAAGTAAGGATGGGAAGGAGAACATGGAAGAAAGGAAGGAGGGATAAGGAGGGATACATGGTCAATCCAAGTTTTGGGGGTGTGTTTTGTTTGAAGTGGTACTGGGGACTGACCCAGAAACTTGTACATACTAGGCAAGCACTCAATCACTAAGATACTTGGATTGAGGGCTGTGAGTGTAATTTAAGAACAAAATTTTAATGATTCACTCTTGTCATGAGCAGAATTTGAGGGTAGAGGGATTTCCAAAAAATCTTCCACTCATTTTAAATGAGTTTATTAGGACTAGGGTGTAGCTCAGTGATACATTTCTTGCCTAGAATGTACTACCCAAAATGCACCACAAAAAAAAAAAAAAGTTTATTGTAATAAAATGAACAAAGCAATTCTAAAATTATCTTAAATTATAGAGTTGATGTGTATGTATTAATAATGTTGAAGGCCAGAATTCTCACAGCATAAGACATTTAAAATATGAAATACAAACCCTAAGAAAAAACACTAGACATAAAAGTTGGGAATATTGGGGCTGGGGATGTGGCTCAACTGGTAGCACGATTGCCTGGAGTGCGTGCGGCCCGGGTTCGATCCTCAGCACCACATACCAACAAAGATGTTGTGTCCACCAAGAACTAAAAAATAAATATTAAAAATAAAATTCTCTTCTCTCTCTCTCTCTCTCTCTCTCTCTCTCTCTATCTATCTATCTTAAAAAAAAAAGTTGGGAATATTGATATATGATTTCTAAAATATGTATATGCATGTTTCTGTGAACATGACTATGTGTGTGTGTGTACAGCCTGCATATTTCCTAGCTCTGTCTACTAAAAGGGCCAAGATGAGAAGACAATTCAAGAGCAACAAGGACATTTACCACCCATAGTTCCTGGGTCTCTAATACATAAGGACACAGGAACCCAGTTGAAAGAGCGTAATGGGACCCAGACATGGTGGAATAAGCCTGTAATCCCAGCAACTCAGGAGGCTGAGGCAAGAAAATTATGAGTTTCAGGCCAGATGTGGCAACAGAGGGGAGCCTATGACAAGAAAAGAAGAAGGAAGGAAAGGGGAGAGCTTCACTGGCCAAACCTACAATTTGAGCAACATAATACGGTAAAGTACTTAACTGTAAACTATTCAAAACAAAATAATAATTCATTAGTCCATACCAATAAATAAAGCTCTTGATTACAGAATAATGCTAAGAGCTCACTGGTAAATGTAAAAGGAATGCTGAAATGAGAAAATAACCAATTTGCAACCATCACAGTAAAAAAAAAAAAAAAAAAAAGCTGGATCAAACAAGATTCATCAATGAATACTAAATCTAGGAAAAACTGAGTAGAATCACAATACCTATATTATCTCCTATAGTCACAGTTTATTGCTGGGGTCAAGGACAGGCAGATTACACAGTGGAGAAGCCTGGCAACACCTTGGCCAAGTGGTCCAAATTAGCATCACAGCAAGGGACAGATAAACATGTGCCTCCAGAATTTATGTTCTCAGGATATAACATCACCTATACAATATTTCAGCCAAAAACACAAAACCTAAATCTAATCACAAGGAAACTTCAGACAAGTATAAAACAAAGGACATTCGGGCTGGGTTTGTGGCTCAGTGGTAGAGAACTTGCCTAGCACATGTGAGGCACTGGGTTTGATCCTCAGCACCACATAATAGCAAATAAATAAAGATATTGTGCCCATCTACAAAACAAAAAAAGTTCAAATAAATAAATAAATAAAATGAAGAACATTCTATTAAATGGGGCTGGGGAGGTAGCTCAGTTGTAGAGTCCTTGGCTAGCATGCACAAGACCCTGGTTTCCATCCCCAGAACGGTTCATTGCTGGAGATGGGGGCTTCAAAAATGTCAATATCATAAAAAAATAAAGAAAGGCTGTAGAAATATCCCAGGAAAAAAGAGATTTAAGAAAAATAGTAACTAAGTAGTACCTGACCTCAGGCGGGATTCTATACAGGAAGAAAATGTTATGAGACTTAATTATATCAAATGGTAAGGCTGGAAAGTGGACAAGTTTGTAGCAATGTCTATTTATGAAGCTGTTAACTGTACAATGGTTATATAAAAGAATCACTGTGTTCTTCAGAAATACAATGGAAACATTACAGAAAAGTAGCACAATCTTATTACCCTCAGATTGCTCAGAATGTAGAGGGAGAGTGGGAATAGGAAAAAAAGAAGAGGCAAGAGAGCCAGCACACACGAATCAAATAATACAAGTACGTGAGTCTAGACAAAGGATATCTCAACTTTCTTCATACTGTATTTTTATAACTGTTGTAAATATGGAAACCAATTTCAAATAAAGTTGAAAAAACTACAGAGAGAAGGAGAAGGAAAAGGGGAGGGAGTGTGGAATGAATTTAATAAAATCCTGTTATATGCATACATAAATGTACCAAAGGGAATTTCACCTTTATATATGTAGAAAGTACCAATTAAAAATAAATAAAGGAGGGGCTGAGGCTGTAGCTCAGTGGTAGAGAGCCTGCCAAGCATGGGTGAGGCACTGGGTTCAATCCTCAGCATCACATAAAAAATAAATACATAAATAAAGTTATAAAAACAGGGCCGGGGATGTGGCTCAAGCGGTAGCACGCTCGCCTGGCATGCGTGTGGCCCGGGTTCGATCCTCAGCACCACATACAAACAAAGATGTTGTGTCCGCCAAAAAAACTAAAAAATAAATATTAAAATTCTCTCTCTCTCTCTCTCTCTCTCTCTCTCTCTCTCTCTCTCTCTTTAAAAAAAATAAATAAATAAAGTTATAAAAACATATCTTTAAAAATAAATAAAGCAAAAGGAAGATCAATAGAGTAAAGCAGGGAGACTGGAAGAGGAAGAAGATAGGGATTAAAACCAAATTCCTTGTATATATGATATTGTCAAAATGAACTCCTATATATAATTAAAATGCTCTAATTAAAAAAAAAGATGGAGATTATTCTCTGCTATGTCCAGAACAGAACAGAATGTGTACATATCATATTTAATTGAGGGATTTTGTAGGGAAGTTGCAAGAGCTAAGGCTGGTGGCTTACATGGATTCCCAGATAAAGCACCATTTTGAATGTCAAGAGAAGGGAGTTTATGAGTTACATACACATCTCCCTCTACCTGTGATGGGAATGGAAAGCAGGATTTCCTACATGCTCAGCAAGCACTTTACCAAGGACCTATACCCCCAGTACCTGTACCAATTTTTCCCCTGGAAACCAGAGAAAAAAATTTATTTAGAAAGATCTAACAAAATTATAATCAGGTACAAAAACAGTAGATAAGTAAGCCGTAAAGACCCATGAACAAAAATAAGCATGAAATTATGGGGTCTTGGCCTGAAGGAAGCTAAAATTAGAAACAAAGTAGAACAAATACAAAAGACAGGAAAATAGCAAACCAGATAAGTCCTGTTTACTAAATATATCAAAGAGGGGTAAGATTCAAAGAAAACTCAGATTTCCAAATGAGCTAACCAAGAGGATGGTATTACTAACCAAAATAAATTTAACTAGCTCAGCAAACATAACTGCTTTCTAAGCTATCAAACTTTTTCTATTTTTTTTCCTATTCTGCTGCAACATTAAAGTGAAGAAAAGGGTTAGATAAAATGTTATTTGCCAGTACAAGATGGGGAAAATAATCTTCACAAGGTAAACAGTCAACACGGGTGAGGGCTGACTCAGATTTTGACTAAACACCAATAGCCACTGTTCGGGGTGTGGGTGGGTGGGTGTGTGTGTGTGTGTGTGTGTGTGTATTCACTTGAATATTCCAAGTCCACTTATTCAACTAATATTTGGTGGGGGGAAGAGGGAGTACTGGGGATTGAACCCAGGGTCACTTTGCCACTGACCTACATCCCAAGCTCTTTTTTCTTTTTTTTTTTTTTTTTAAGACAGAGTCTCACTAAGTTGCCGAGGCTGTCCTCAATCCTCTAGCCTAAACCCCACCCGACCCCCAACCCCAGTTGCTAGGATCACAGGCATGAGTCACTGCACCTGATCTATTAATCTTAAAAAGAAAACATCAAGCACCAAACAACTTTAAACAAAATTCCAAATTAAAGAAAAGGGTAGTATCTTCAGAAGATTAAGGTCAAAAAATTACAATGAATCAAATAGAAAGGAATTAGTTACCTGGCTATGCAGTCAAATGATGTTCAAGTGGGAGTTTATTTTTAATGGTCTCCGAGTCCACTGTTGAGCAAATATTTTGATTCTGTGGACAAAAAATAAAGAAGGTTCAATTTTATTGTCCTTTCCTCATGTAAGAATTAGTATTAGTCAAACTAACCGTTCCCAGCTGTCCCTTCCCTGAACATATGAAACAAACTAAATGTATCAAGTACAATGCCAATCTTCCTAGAATTTGAGTAGATACCTTACTTAGCCATCTATAATACTTCCACTGGCGTGCGGGGGGGGGGGGGGGGGGGGGGGGGGGGGGGGGGGGGGGGGGGGGGGGGGGGGGGGGGGGGGGGGGGGGGGGGGGGGGGGGGGGGGGGGGGGGGGGGGGGGGGGGGGGGGGGGGGGGGGGGGGGGGGGGGGGGGGGGGGGGGGGGGGCCGCAGGCATGACATACAACATTACACTTCCATCACTGTTTCTACACATGGATAGTGCAAAGTGGGGTATACAGAGGAGACCAGCTCCAAGTCCTGAGAAGTAATGAAAATTATGAGTATTCGGAAACTGTAGGTATCCTCATACGCCCAAATTCATGTTCAAAAGAGAACAATTAAAGCCAACTTAATGCATTGGCAGAAGCTAATGCTTAAATACCCCTATCCAAAATAACCTATACTAACCACATAAAGGAAGAGAAGGAGAAAGAGATAAAAGGAAACGTACAAGGGAAGAAAAGTCCCAGATGTTTCTTACCCTCTATTAAAGTATGCATTTAGGTTACCAAAAATGAGTGTGTGGGAGTCAGAGTGTGTGTTGTATGTCTGTCTGTCTGTCTGTCTGTCTGAGGGGGCGGGGAGTTTACAGGATATTTAAGCCAGAGACTCTATATTACTGAGCTACATTCCCTAGCCCTTATTTTTTATTTTGACACATGGTCTTGCTAAATTTCCCAGGCCAGCTTCGAACTTTAAATCCTTCTGCCTCAGTCTCCTGAATTGTGAGATTACAGGTGTGCACCTGAGTGCCTAGTCGAAAAAGAAATATTTTAAATGGGGAAATTAGGGGCAATTTTTCAAAATAATATACACTCAAATACATGATCATATAAACAGCAGGATTTTGCACATCAAGAAATAGGGAGCAGGGGGCTGGGGATGTGGCTCAAGCGGTAGCGCACTCGCCTGGCATGCGTGCGGCCCGGGTTCGATCCTCAGCACCACATACAAACATGTTGTGTCCGCCGAAAACTAAAAAAAATAAATATTAAAATTCTCTCTAAAAAAAAAAGAAAGAAAGAAATAGGGAGCAGGGCTGGGGTTATGGCTCAGCGGTAGAGCACTCGCCTAGCACATGTGAGGCCCTGGGTTTGATCCCTTAGCACCAAATAAAAATAAAGTCATTGTGTCCCTTTACAACTACAAAAAAATAAATAAATATTTTTTTAAAAAAAAGAACGAAAGAAATAGGGAGCAGATTCTGGTAAAACAAAGAAGTAAGCTAATAAAAACATTCACCTCTCCTTATGAATTCACAAGTTTAACAGTAAAGTAACATCGATATCAAGACAACAACCATGACTACCATATGCCCTAAAGTTAAAAGCAGTCATGCTAGAATTGGCAGGGCTAACAGGAAAGGGCATAGAAAAAATGATACACTCATAAATTCCAAGGAACAAACCTATTATAGGCTATGGTCAATTTACACAGAGTACACAGGGGCCAGACAACCACAATCCTGATGCAAAGTATGAATGGTCATTGTACTTTTGAAACCCAAAATAAAGAGGAGAAAATGGAGGGGGGAGGGAAGCACATCATATATGGTTTTTGCAAAAGGTAAGAGGAGTAACAGTGCTGTGCAATGACATGCCTATTTGCAATCGCAGCTCCTAGTTTATAGTGAGATATATGCCAAAAGTAGGCTGGCTACATTTAGAGCCTGGACTCCATCTTCCAATCTATAATAATATGATTAATTGTTAACATAACAGTTACAGAACAGAAGTTTTAGAGCAGTCCAGATCGAGACTCGATTCCCAGCTCTTTCACTTACTTGCTAGGCTTGTAATCTAGGCTTACTAAGCCTGGTCAATTTAAGATTCTAGGGCCTCAAAAAAGAGAAAGAAAAAAGGTTAAATGGAGGGGTCATTTGATAAAGCTCTTGTGAGAATTAAATGAAAATATATATAAGTAATAAGTAATTGGAACCTAGCATAGCCCACAAAACCTCAAAAAAATTATTGTTAACCAAACAAAATGCAGACACACAATATAACAAGAATTTCCAAGCACATTTAAATAAAAGTAAAATTTAAAATAAAAAAAGTAAAATCATTTGTTTCTGTTTTCAAAATTGTTTTTGAATTTTTGTGCTGTCCCATTTAACTAGAGGAAAACATAGGGGAAGATAGTCAGAACTTCTTTAAAGAACTTCTAAGATTTTTCTGGCCCTCATTTTAAATCAGGTTTCACCTCAGATTTTTTTTTAGTTGTTTTTGTTGTTATTGTTGTTGTTGTTTGTTTTAATATTGTTGCTGTTGTTCTGTTTTTTAGAAGGGTGAGATGAGACAGTAGTGAGGTGGGTAGCACATAAGTAAAAGAATTTTAGGTAAGGAAAGGAAGTCAAGTCAGAAAGTGCCAAGTACCTAACAACTGACCCAGGACACAATCAATTACTGCTGCCTACTATGGGAAGTTAAAGAGAACCCAGTTAATATTCCAATATCCTACAACTGGTTTTCATAACTTTTCCTCAAAGAAATGTTGACACTGCCAATTTGCACCCTCAGACAAAGACACACCATCTACAAATTTCTTTCCTCCCAGCCTATAGTTCTTCCAGCTAGACTACAGAGATTCCTAAATTGTCAACACCTGATGATTGGCTTGTCTACCAAGAAACAACATGGACACAGTCTAAAAGTACTACACAGCAGGATTCTGTAAAGCACAGGACCATTAGAAAAATTGGGTGAGTTAAACTTGTCTAGAACCAAGATTCTGTCTACAAAGTCAATAATACCAGGTTTCCCAAGACATGTTTTATCTTTATCAAAAACACGCTGATCTTACCACTTTACACAATTATGACTTTAGATAATCACACATACAAAAACCAAATCACACCGACATAAAAACTAAATATGATACTTTCTAAAATATTAGATAACTAAAAAGGAAGGAGGGAAAAACATTACTTTATCTACTGCAATTAACAGAAAGGTAACTGATGGACCCACATTATCAAAACCTGTATTACCAGTGATCAAAATCCCTTCATCAAGAGCTAAAGGGTAAAGGTGGGGGAGGGTAATACTGCTGAGCTCTGTTAATAGCCAGTCTGAGAAGATGTGCCTCCAGGACAGAACAAAGAATCAAATTGAGGGAGGGGAGTTAATAGAGGAAAATCCAAACTATAATACTAATGCTTAGAAAGATCAACAGAACAAAAAGCAACCACTGAATATTATGAACATGTTTTTCTTTGCTGTGGAACATGGAATGGGGTGAGCAATCTACTATCAATCATATTTAAGTTCATTGTTCTTTCCAGGCCATTTGCTGGCACGACTCAAGAGAATGCCTTCTCAATTTCTGAAATCATGGAGATGGGAAGTCACCATCTTTGGGAAAAAACAGCTGTTGTCCACTAATCTTCGAAGTACTGCAGAATAAGTTGGTTCATCAATTAATTTTCAGGTTACTTAAAGGTTGCATAACATTAGTGTTAAGTTTAACATTCTTTCACAGGATTATTTATCAAGTGATAAATATAGCCTTTGTTGAAACTGCAACAATAGGTTTCACTTGGAACAATCTATCGCAACCAACCAACCTGTAGCTATACTGAAAGGGAAAGAAAAGATGTGATGTAAATTTAAGATGCCATTTATTTTGAGGTACACAGACTTAACTCAGTGAAACTTTTTTTTTTAACTTTTTATTTCTTAGTCCATTATTGCATGTTTTGTTTTGTTTGGGGTGGGGGAGGTTAGTGGGGATTGAAGGATTGGAGCCAAGGGCATTTTGCCACTGAACAAAACTCCCAGTCCTGTTTTGTTGTTTTGATTTTTAAAAGAAACAGGGTCTCACCAAATGCTGTGGCTGGCCTTGAACTTGCAATCTTCCTGCTCAGCCTCCTGAGAGGCTAAGATTACAAATATGCACCATTAAATACTATCATCTTTTTGACAGAGGAGAAGAACTGTTGCAACAGGCAAGTAAAATACTGACAGGGTTTTAAAAAATGATATGTATTACCACTTGGCCTATGCTATGTTCGAATAAGGATCAAGTTGCCTTGTAATAGTTTATTCTCCTTTATGGCCCTTCAATAAATTATAATACATGTTGAATTCTAGGTAGAGTCAACCTGAAAATTCAAATGATGCAATGAAAACAGAAGCCTAGGGTTCAGAAAATGTAGGTTTTATAAAGTCGAGATTCTTGAAGTGACTTATTTAATGCAATTAAATGCTTGCTGTGTATCTATCAAATGCCAGGCACTGCACTAACACTTGGAAATATAAGCAAATCATGGTTACTGTCATTAATTAAGAAAGCAGAAGCAGGCATAAAAAGCCACCAAAATTCCTAAAGTGAAAAAAATGTTCACATAATAACCACTTGAGCATCAATATATCATACTGAACTATAGCCCAGGGATAAAAGAAAGAATCAAAGTGGAAGAGAGTCCCATGATAGTACTACAGAATAAAACAAAACTTCCCTACCCTATTCATAGAATTATTGTGTTCATGGTAAAGCACCATGTAGATTTAAAAGAGGGGAGGGGAGAGAGACACAAGCCAAAAGCACTTCAACAAAAAAGATAAATGAATCGGAATGTGCAATTTCTGCAATTACTGCTCAAAGTTATCATAACCAAAACGCCATCGAGTTTCTTTATAAAAGGCAAAGAAAAAAACTTTTGTAAAGTTTGGGACATTTATATGAAAATTACATGGGACACAGGAAACCTAAATGGGTTGTGTAAAGGTAGCTGAAAGTAAAAACTAGTTTCTACTCAATATATCCAGGAAATTATGTCATACATTTTGCTTACACGACACTGCCCACTGAAGAACAAT